CCAAGCTCGCATTTATCGGGGTTGACGGTAACCCCATGCTGGGTTAAGCGTTGGAAGAGAGCGTCGAGGTGATGAAGATGTTCTTCATCAGAAGAGCTCGCGATAAGATGTCATCTAGATAAGGATAAACGCCTTCGAGTCCTCGCGTTACCTCATGAATGAAACGCTGAAAGGTTTGGGCAGCGTTGCTGAGGCCGAAAGGCATTCTGAGGTACACGAATAGACCAAATGGCGTGATGACTGCTGTTTTAGCAATGTCATCTGGCGCGACAGGTATCTGGTGGTAGGCACGAACTAAGTCGACTTTGCTGAAGATAGACTTGCCAGCTAGAGCTGAGGTCAAGTCGTGCATGTGCGGGATAGGGTATTTATCCGGGACGGTAACTTTGTTAAGTGCCCTGTAGTCACCACAAGGGCGCCAGTCACCGGATTTCTTCGGCACCATGTGTAATGGTGATGCCCATGGACTTTTAGACGGGCGGATGATTCCCAGTTCGAGGATTTGCTCGAATTCCGCCTTAGCAGCTTTGAGCTTGTCCGGGGCTAATCGGCGATGGCGGGCCGAAACAGGTGGGCCCTTAGTGCAGATGTGATGCGTGACGTTTGACGTCACAGGAGGCAACTCGTTCAGGACGCGAACGAGTTTAGGGTGCTTGGTGAAAAGTTCTAGAAAAGGTTGTGAAGCTTGAGGTAGGACACGAATGGGAGTGATAGCAGCCACGTTGGCGCTGGTCCCGATAACACTGAGCTGTGTCCTAGAGTCAATAAGCTTCTTCCTTTTAGCGTGGACGATGAGATCGAAGCGTTGCAGAAAGTCTACGTCTATGATGGCGAAAGGCACAGCAGCGATTATGAAAGGCCAGCGAAAGGTTCGCCGGAGGCCTAAATTGAGTGTTAGCAAGTTTTCGCCGAATGTTGCGATTGGTGTGCCATTGGCGGCACGCAGCTTGGTCGGCGATGGTGAGACGACCTCATTTGGGCTACAAGGTATAACACTAACCTCGGCGCCAGTATCTACTAGAAACTCGGTGCCAGAAGTTAAATCCCTAACGCGGATGAGGCGACTTTGGTGTTGGCCAGTCGCGTCCGTCGCCGTTACGGACCGGCCGAGAAGTTTTCCCTGCTTCTCGGCGAAGTTGCAAGGCTTGACACACTTACGAGCTGCGGTACCAAAACGCTGGTGGTACCAACAGCTAGCCTGCCTGTTTCTAGACTTAGAACGTTTGCAGGGCGATTTTGTTCGGCCATGATGACGACGGTTCATAATAAGCTGCTGAACCTGGCGACTAAGTGTCGCAACTTGTGCTTGCAGGGCTTCTATGGTTGACTGTAAGCCAGTGATAGAAGTGCCCTGGGACGCGACGGCATTCATCTTGCTGGCGCCGGCTTGTGGCTGTGATCGTTCAATAACTCGATCCGCTAAATCTGCTAGTTGAGTGAGCGGAACGGGGCTCACTGTAGCGAGAATCGCGTGCATGTTTTCCGGTCGCCGTTGTAGCCATAGTTCGCGAAGTAAAGTCTCATCCATGGTTGAGGAACCAAGGAGTTGCTGCATCTCCCGTAGCAGGGTTGAGGGCAGTTTGTCGCCCAGCTGCAGATCCCTGAAAAGCTGCTGCAGGCGAACTTTCTCAGAGGGCATTACACGCTTAATTGTGGCCTCTTTAAGAGCCTCATAGCGGTTTTCGGTCTGAGAAATGATAACTTCACGCACCTGCATTGATATCTCCTTGGGGAGATAGGACAGAAGTTTGCAATACTTCGCGTAGTCAAAAGTGATTTTGTGGTTATAAAACTCGGCCTCAAGATGAGCGAACCACAAAACAGGATCCATGTCCCAAAAAGGTGGAACTGAGAGAGATACAACGCTAAGTAGAGACTCTACCTTATGGTCTACAGATTCCATGGCTTAAAAAATGATGCAAAAATAGGCTACCGTATGCAAAATAAACTGGAAAATATGAAAAATAAATGGAACGAGCTCACCGGAGAAACGTTCCAAATATCCGGCGCTGAGATTGTTCCGGAGCAGGGGTCACCAATTTAGAGGGTTGCCTATTCCGGGAGCCCAGAGAGCGATTCCAAAAGACGGATGGAGTTGCAGGGAAAATTTTATTAGTTCAGAAAAAGATTCCCTGTTAGCTAGCTATGAACGAACGACACCGTGGACGCTCTAGCTAGGGAAACGGAGCAGACACAGCACACAGAGCAGTTGAGCGTTGCAACCGAAGCGAGCGCCAAGCAAAAATGGCGATGAGCAAGTAAAGCATTCGAACTCAGCAAGCAGTTCAACAAACCACACCGGTTGCCTAAGTGTTCAATTATAGAATTTTGGTTAGAATTTTACACAAGCAAACCGGGGAATCTCCAGACTGCTACAGTGGCCTTGGTACTGTGGGAGATAAGCAATTAGCCGGAGGAACATACTCGTGCTGTCACTTCAATGGCCAAAGGTCAAATAAAGGGTTCAGCTGGACAACACTGGCAGACAGATAAGTCTAACGGTTGACCAGTCTTAAAGTTAAACCAGCTGTACGGGCAATTGGTAGTGAATATGAAGCGTAAGTGAGGAGAGGTCAGTCGTTAAGGAAAGGCTAAGTGGCTTTAATACAAGGTTTACAGAGGCCCGTCAAAAGCAGCAGCAGACAGTGTTGATACTTTAGCTACTATGTACTTGGAGTGCTAGAAAAACATTAAATAAGTAACGTGGTCGGAAGATGGACAGAGAATTGTGAAGCCTACTTCAAACCGTCATGCTGAGCCAGTCATATCACTAAGCGAAAGTAGAAATGAAACAACAGGCGAAGGATAGCTATCGGTCTCACACATGAAAAGCAATGATAGCAGACGATTAAGGAGTAATAATGGGTTACGATGCAGCAATGTTTCTGAAAAAGGCTGGGGTGAGAGATAAAATGCAGTGACTTATTCTCTTAGTAATGCAAGAGGACGTGGTGGCGGTATTGTGAAAGGACAGTCACCGGATCAGTAGAGCTTTCGTGCCAATGAAAGCCAAAAGATACCAGAAGGACTTCAGACAGACAAGAAGGAAAGCAGGCAGATTTGTTAGACGCATACGTCCAGCCATAAAGTTGATCCCGATGGACGCGTAATCTGCAGTAGATATAATGCATAATGAGGAGAAGCTTGTCGGTAAGGAAATAGTAGGTGGTTTTTACTAAAGGTTGGTGGGGCTCATCAGGGACAGCAGCAGACTGCGTTGACGCTTTACCTACCGTGTAATCGCATGAGGCCAGAGGAGAGGGAAGTAATAGACACGTTCTGAAGATAGACTATGATGAGATAAGCCTACCTCAAGTTATAGTACGGCGCCATTTGAACCAGTACTCAGAAGTGAGAATGAAGCAAATGGTAGTGAAGGCTAGAGGTTTCAAACGTAAGTAGAGCTACCAGATGATTAAGAGCAGGTCATAACGAGCTGTAATGCAAACAAGTCGGCAGGAAAGCCGTAAACAATAGGCATCAGTAGGGTGAAAGAACTTCCATCTGGGTAACAACTTTGGCTTATTGAGGGAGAGTTCGTGAGCAACAGCAGCCTTATATACGTAATTTATACTATCGGACGTAAGATGCCGTACTGTGCAGGGATAGACAACCGGCCGGCGGAGCAACTGCTACCTACATGTCAATGAAAGCCAGGTCACAAAAATAGTTCGGACAGGTCTCATGGACGCATACGTCCAATCAGAAAGTTGAACCAGCTGGTCGGGTATTCAGAAGTGAACCTAGAGCATAAGTGAGGATAAACTGGGCGTTGAGGAGACGGAACGTGGCAGTAACGCAAAGTTAGGAGAAGCTTATCATTGACAGCAGCAGACAGTGTTGGCACTTTAACCACTAGGTAAGTAAATAAATAAATAAATAAATAAATACTTTATTCTCGACTATGCGAGGCACGCCCATGGAGGCATGATCAGATATGTACAACTGTACAAACATTTTGTGGCAACTCTGACAGCAATAGTAGAAAATTGGTGGTATGTTCATGGTAAAATAAATAAATAGATAGTTTATTCTCAGTTTCATAGAGACGCACCAACTTAGGCATGATCAAGGTTTAAAACTGTTGTGTATCACGACGATACTCCGGGTTCAATCGTGTATAGTTGAAACGGTGTCAAGAGGAGTTGATATGTGAATCTAGTCGACTTGCCAGTATGTAGTTGTGGGCTGTGACTTTATTCAGTGGCGAGTCACATCCGCCACGTCGCAGTGTTGTTAAACAGACATATGTGGCTTTTTATAGGGAGAACGCTTGCCAGGCGAAAACCCACCACGTCCTGCAACACCGCCGTAAAGCATTTTGAACATTAATGTTGAACTGGCAAAGACGCTTGACGACTGGTTTCACATTCGGTTTTTCGCGGGGTAATGTCTTCTAATTTCCTCTGTTAGTTGGACGGGTATTTTGCTCTGGGTCGCCATGATTTTTTGGGGTCGCTGGAGGAGAGGGACATCGCGATTTTTCTTCTTGTTGTATGTCCAGGTGAGCAAAAGTTTCAATTTTTCCGCTGTTCAGATTTTTCAGATGTATAATGTGTGGGAGTATGAGGATATGTCCAGTTCTCCATACTGGACAAGGGTTATGGTGATTGTAGGTTGGTCCTTGCGGAGTTTTACTATCCTCCATGTCAGTCCTTGTGGGTTGTTCCGTCCGTCTTGGGCAAAATTGTTCCTCAGTCCAATCCCAGATCTCCAAGATGTCCCGGACCTCAGAGAAAAGGGAAAATTTGAGACAACCGAGAGAAGACCGCAAGAACAGGCATGGAATTGAATATTGTTAGTGTCTTGTGTTATAACATTTGGGCTTGAGACAAAAGCATGTACACTGTGCAACAATAATTATGCTGAAAATGTCTTTTGAGTATCCTATAGAATCATTAGCCGTATAGGTGGATTGCTATCGCCTGCGTAGGGACGAGCGTTGCACCAGTAAGTAAAGTACGAGTATCCATTTGATATGAGTCGATAGTTGCGTGGGGATAGAGCAAAGAGAGTTAGAATGTTGGTAGTGATTGTCAGGTGCATGAACAGCACGTAGTTAGTGTAATCCGAGAGGGGGGCATAATAAGCGAAAATAAATAGGTTGCTGCGAGAGAGTCTTAAAGCTCAATTGGTGGCAGGGCAGCGGAGGGACTGGATGCAGATATTCTAGAGGAGTAGAGGTTATTCAGATACGGGGTGGCTACTAAAAAGCACTGGATCATCGCATTTGCATGGGGCCAATGGCCATTAGCTACTTCTGAAGAGAACTGCCGAATTTATGACGACCGACAGATGTTGGCGCTAGGAATGACTCAGTCGCTAGATGCAGCTATTCCAATCTGACGCTTTGTCACTAGTGTATGCCTATAGGGTCGATGAGTGTATCTATAGGCCAGTGAAGGTAAGTGATAGGTCAACAGATCAGCTAAGCTGTGACGCAAACAATCCAAGAGAATGAACATTGTAAGAGGGAGCGAGCTCCGGATATCCGCAGAGTTAAGTGGAAGCTATGGCGACTAGCTGCAGGTAAACAGAGATAGTGTCTCTAGGAAAGAATGAATCAGTGGCTGCTGTAGCCATAGTATTAAGACGTTTGTCTACTACTGGATACCTACAGCTTTGTTGAGGAAGTCAACAGGCAAGCGAGGTTTAAGCGTGACATACGGCAGAAGAGAATGAAGGCTGGAGAGTCAAGAAGTGGCTCCTTGTAGGCTACATGGAGCCAACAATTTCTAGCTATTTTCAAGAAAAATTGAGGCGAGTAAGATGAACGACGGATAATGGCGCGCTAGGAGAGAGAAGAGTGATCAGCAATAGAGTTTGGGCTAGGCCTTCAGTAACTAGTGGATCCTACGGTGGCACATAATAGGTCGGCAAACCATCTGAGCTGTAAAGTAAACATTCCAAGTGAGTGAATATTGTAAGAAGGGAGCGACTCCCACAGAGCTCCGGATATCCGCAGAGTTAAATGGAGGCTATGGCGACTAACTGATGCTAAGCATAGATATTGGCTTTGGAAAAGAGTGAACCAGTGGCTGGTGTAGCCATAGTATTAAGACGTTTGTCCACTATTGGATACCTACAGTTTCGGTGAAGAACAGCTATGCTTGCTTGCGTATCGAGAACAAAC